CCTTTCTTGTCTTCAGAAGTGAATATAGAGAACAAATGAGTTAATTGCGTACCTTGGAGGAAAAAGTAAACACTGATAATTTTCTTCAAAGCCGACGGGATAAGATTAAACAGGCCATGTTTATTTCCAATAGTCAGTCACTTATTACCTCAATTCAGTCGTAAACCACCTAACGATCTAAAATTACTGAGCTCAACCAGCGCTCACAAATATCTTAACTTAATCGCGGCCAACAATATACAAAAAACGGAATGACGGAACGGGCGTCACTTAAACAAGCAGTCGCTGTCTCAAGAGCCTAGCATTGCAGCAGTCAAACAACACTGCACATAAGTGCCAACGCCTTTTTGTAGGTAAGGTGGTTTGATAGCTAAGTGTGTGTAGCGCTGGCCCGTAATGAAATAACTTTTTTAAAGGCATTGTAGGCCAAACTAACTAGCGCACCCGTATCCTTCACTGTGTTGTGCTTATGTCTCTAATGCTGAATCCGCAACGAAGTTCGAAACTTCAGGTTAAAGAAAGTATTGTCCTGGTGATCTCCTCGCCTTCTTTTCAAAATTGGTTCGTTTTTTGTAAAATCCGCTACAGTATGCACACATGAGCACTACAACACCACTAATATGCAATGAAAGCAGCCAACGCTCTCTCATTGACCTCAATTTCAATTATTGAAGTCTGCCAATTCCCTAATATTTATGGTTAGTTTAGTAGTCTATCCAGTGGATCCCTTATTATTACTTGGGAGATCCTGTTGGGCAGTCAGCCTGCTGTATCCGTACTGGTAGACTCCATACGAGCAGTAAGTTGGGTAAGCAAATCGACCTAAGTGTTATTATATTCACGGCTAACAGTGAGCCTCCTAGTTCAGTGGTAGAGAGTTGGCAGCGCAAAAGCCTTCCCTACTGTGTGGGTTCGATCACGTCCAAAGCCGCAAAATGTTCACAATTGGGTCAGCTGAATTATTCAAATCTGCCAAACCCTCTAAATAAAAGTCGATGTGCCAAGTTGCCGGACCGGAAACGGCCAACTAGGTGAAAATACATTGACACAGAGCGAACTGCACAGATATCGCCTATTCAAAAATCACAAAAAGATCAGCAGCAGGCCTACTTTTTGTATATTTCTTTATTGTGATAAACGGCAATATTTTGACAGACAACTTAATTTGCATCTACCGGAGAAATCTGTACTTTTATCCTCAGTGTG